AACATTATATTCGTTTCAGGTGTACAACATAATGGTTCAATGTTTTATGTATATATTGCTAAATGATCAACATAGTAAGTCTAGTTAACATCCATCACCACGCATGGTTACAAATATTTTTTCTTCTTGTGATAAGAACTTTTAAGATCTACTCTCTTAGCATCTTTCAAATATATGATAGAGTATTATCACCTATAGTCACCATGCTGTACAGTATATCCCCAGGACTTATTTATGTTATAACTGAAAGTTTATACCTTTAAACCACCTTCACCCATTTTGCCCACCCCCTGCCTCTGGCAGTCACCCATCTGTTCTCTATATCTATCAGTTCAGGTTTGTTTTGTTGTTGTTTTGGTTGTTTTTAGATTCTACGTATAAGTGAGATCATATGGTATTTGTCTTTCTCTGTCTGACTTATTTCACTCAGCATAATGCCCTCAGGGTCCATCCATGTTATTATATATGGCAAAATTTCCTTCTGTTTTATGGCTGAATAATATTCCATTGCATATATATATCTATACACCACATCTTCTTTATCCATTCATCCATCGATGGACAATTAGGTTGCTTCCATGTCTTGGCTATTGTAAATAATGCTGCAATGAACATGGGAGTGCAGATATCTTTTTAAGTTGGTGTTTTCATTTCCTTCAGATAAATACCCAGTAGAATTGCTGGATCTTATGGTAGTTCTATTTTTAATTTTTAGGGGAACCTCCATACTGTTTTCCATTGTGGCTATACCAATTTACGTTCCTACCAACAGTGCATGAGGGTCCCTTTTTCTCTGCATCCTTGTCAACACTTGTTATTTCTTGTCTTTTTAATACTAGCCATTCTGACAGGTGCGAGGTGATATCTCATTGTGGTTTTGATTTGCATTTCCCTGATGATTAGTGATGTTGAGCACCTTTTCATGTATCTGTTAGCCATCTCTGTGTCTTCTTTCAAAAAATGTCTGTTCAGATCCTTTGCCCATTTTTCAATGGATTGTTTGGTTTTTTGCTATTGAGCTGAATGAGTTCTTTATATATTTTGCATATTAACCCATTATCAGATATATGATTTACAAATATTTTCTCCCATTTGGTAGGTTGCCTTTTCACTTTCTTGATGGTTTCCTTTGCTGTGCAGAAGCTTTTTAGTTTGATGTAGTCACATGTGTTTATTTTTGCTTTTGTTGTCTGTGCTTTTGGTGTCAAATCCAAAAAATCATCAACAAGACCAATGTCAAGGAGCTTACTGCCTGTGTTTTCTTCTAGGAGTTTTACGGTTTCAGGTCTTACGTCCAAGTCTTTAATCCACTTTTAGTTCATTTTTGTGTATGGTGTAAGACAGTGGTCCAGTTTTATTCTTCTGCATGTGGCTGTCAGTTTTCCCAACACCATTCATTGAAGACCCTGTCCTTTCCCTATTGTATATTCTTGGCTCCTCTGTCGTAAATTAATTGACCATATGTGCATGGGTTTATTTCTGGGCTCTTTAATCTGTTCCATTGATCTCTGTTTTTATGCCAGTACCATGCTATTTTCATTACTATAGCTTTGTGATGTAGCTTGAAATCAGGAGCATGATGCCTCCAGCTTTGTTCTTCTTTCTCAAGATTGCTTTGGCTTTTGGGGGTCTTTTGTGGTTCCATACAAATTGTAGGATTGCTTGTTCTATTTCCATGAAAAATCCCATTGGAATTTTGATAGGGATTGCCTTGAATCTGTAGATCGCTTTGGGTAGTATGGATATTTTAAAATATTCTTCCAGTTTATGAGCACTGAATATCTTTCCATTTATTTGTGTCATCTTTAATTTCTCAGAGGGTAGTCTTAATTTCTAAATGATAGGTGCTTACTTCTCACCTGGACATTTGTAATAGCCTGGTTACCAGTCTCTCTACCAACCTCTACTCTGTTGCCACTCTGCTATTGGAGTGACCTTTCTAAAATGGCAAATATGATTGTCTCACTCTTGTGCCTGCAACCTTCAGTAGTTCTCACAGCCTTCAAGGTAAAGGACAGACTTTCTGTTATAGCAGACAGAGCCGACCTCCAGCTTGCTTTTTACCTCTCCTTTCCTCAGCCTTGTTCTTCTGTGATATTAAACTACTTAACGTTTTTCTGAATAGGCAGTGCTGTTTCAAGTCTGTGCCTTTTGATGTGTTATTTTATCTTCCTCCCACTTGTCTGACTGAAACTCCTTCAAGACTTAACTCAGTTCTCATAGTCATTTGAAATTGTGACTTCCTCAAGTAGAATGACTTTCCTTCCTTATTGAGTCTGCCATCACATATTATGATTATTTGAAGGTATGGGCTATTTTATTTCTTTTAATCTTCAAACACATAGCCCACAGCCTGTATGTAGTAGACATTCAACAGTTTAAATAATGGTTCATATCTGAAAGCAGATTGACCCCCAAATTTACTTAGTTGTGCATATATGTTTAGTTAAAAAAATTTTTTTCCTGATTATGAAAGTAAGAAAATGTATGAAAGTAATACATATTCACTGTTGAAAACTTGACAAAAATATAGAAAGGTTAAAAGAATATGATGTCACCCATCTATTGCCCAACATATTTGCTGTATATCTTCCTAGTCTTTTTTTTTTTTTCTTCTGTGTGTATATCTGTGAGAATGTTTTTTGTTTTTACAGAATTGAGGTTTAACATCAAGTTCAATAGAGAGTTGAGGCCACCCAGGGAAAGTATAGAAATAATCAACACTTATTTCAAAGATAAGAAAATGGAATCTTTTAAAGGGGCAGTTCTCTTTCTGTGTTCCTCTAGTGGTAATAAAGCTGTATTTTGCTGAGCAAAGACACTGCACTATATTCATTATCACTAATCCTTAGAACACCCTTTGAGGTAGGTCTCCTTTTCTCTATTTTAAAGGTTAAGAAATGATGACACTAAGTATGTCTGCAAGATCTGCTCTGAGGAACCCTAGGGCTCCACAGCATGCAGCAGGAGTTTCACAAATAAGAAAGATTAAGGATACATTAGCTGAATATGAAGTGATAAACTGCCTGAAGAATCCAGATTCTTTTAGTGTTTTTATCTGTCTTGGTAGACAAGAAGTTTTATTGCTTAAAAAAAACCTTGCAAACCACTGACCTAGCTTATTGGACAAATTCAATTTTGTATGGTTTCCTTATAAAGCTGGCTAAATGAGACATTACTGTAAACTACTTTATCTCTTAATTTAATACATGAAATTTTTTTTTAGAATATGAAAGCTGTAACTTTTATCTCATACTCTATACCAGAATTAATTCTAATTGATTTTGAGTTCAACACCATTTATTAAGTAAATGCTTTTGACTGCCAGTTGTATGTCAGGCCTTCTAGGTGCTGGGGGTATAGTGGTTGATAAGACAGACAAGATCCCTGCTTTTGTGGTGCTTGTATTCTAGTGGGAGCAGTTTGTTTGACAAAAGAAAAATAAACAAGAAATATCAGAGTGATAAGTGGTATTAAGAAAATAAGACAAGGTGATGGAGTAGAGAGAAATTGGGAGTTGCCTGCCTTCTATTGGATCTCTGGAGAAAGCCTCTCTGAGAGATAACAGTGGAGCTGAGACCTGAGCGGTACTAAGGAGCCAGCTGAGCACAGATATTAAAAATGGAAACCATAGAGAAATTAGAAGACATTACAATTTAAATATATATCAGACCCGGGGGAGGGGAGCGTAACTTTCTAAGCTCAGAATTTAGTAGTAATAATCACAAAGGAAAAGCCTGTCCGATTTGACAAGATAAAACTTATGGACTTTTGAATTAAAAAAAAAAAACAAACCCTGGGGTTGGCCCCATGGCTTAGCGGTTAAGTGTGTGTGCTCCGCTACTGGCGGCCCGGGTTCAGATCCAGGCGCGCACCGACGCACCGCTTGTCCGGCCATGCTGAGTCAGCGTCCCACCTACTGCAACTAGAAGGATGTGCAGCTATGACATACAACTATCTACTGGGGCTTTGGGGAGAAAAAGGGGAAAAAAGGAGGAGAATTGGCAATAGATGTTAGCTCAGGGCCTGTCTTCCTCAGCAAAAAAAGAGGAGGATTGGCCTGGATGTTAGCGCAGGGCTGATCTTCCTCACACACACACAAAAATAAATTAAAAAAAAAAAACCTGTAATATTATGTGGCAAACAATTCTGAAAAAAGATTTTTAGCACAAAAAAAATACACGATTAAGATAATTTATTAAAAGTGTGCACAGATTAATAAGAAAAATATAAAACTCAAAAGCTAAATGGCAGAAAAGCATAACAAGGCAATTCCAGAAGAGACTATATAATTCATAGACATCACTAGAAATAAAAAAAACACAAGTAAATGAGGAATCTTTTTGTTAATCTACTAAATTAGCTTAAACTTCTTTTACTAGTGTCCTACACTGGGAAGAGTACAATGCAATTGGCATTCTTGTAAATTGCTGATGACCCTATAAATTAGTATAATTTGCTTCTGAAAAGCAGTTTGGCAATGTGTACCAAAATCCATGTAAATATCTCTATCTCTTGTCCCAGTAATTTCACCTCTGGGAATTTATTTTAAATAAAAAACGAAGTATTGGGGAAAAATAAACATTACACCAAAACATGCCTCACATTATTTTCGTAGATACTTGGTAGCATCCCAGTGTCTGACAATAGGGACATGTTTGAGTGAATCAGGAAATATCCACTCAATGGCATGTTATACATACATGAAAAAGAATGGCTGTAACAGCTGCAGTAGCATGAAGAAAGGTGTTGACTCGATGGGAAATGACACACAGCAGCATGCAGAATTGTCTATATAGTCTTTGTGATTGTTTTTTCAGATGTGCATGAAAAAAACACAAAGATATACACCACAATGTTAGCAATGGTATGTTAGAGTTGTGGGATAAAAATTTTAACTGATACATCTTAGAAAAAAATAAACTTTTCTCTAAAAACTTACTTGAAACCTAAATGATAACAATGAATAAATTGACTCACTGTTCATCTTTCCACAAAAGAGCTTTGAAGGTACAATCGTGTGGGAGAGCCAAGACCTGCAAGGCCTTGTGTCAAGAAATCTCCACAAAGTGACAGTAAATGATGGAGGGGGAGTTCTCAGAGTCGTTACAGTAAGTCATCCCTGTTTTTAAAGGTGTTTAGCACTCTTTAGCATTTTTTAATATATGAAAGTTTTTAAAATTCACTTTCACAACAATCCAGGTGATATGGAACAACAATGGTTTAGATTTATGTTTTAGAACATATACAGTAGAAAATGTTGTCGAGCCACCATAGCAAAGATGAAAAACTCAAATGTTCTGTGATTTTGTAACTCTGTTAGTAAATATAGTTTTGCCTTAAGATTGGTGAATTTAAAAAAGTGTGATATTTTATTTCTCAGTAATTTTTAGGTTAACATTCTTTAAGAACACTTGCTCAATAGTGTTCAGAATATAAGATTGAGTATTTGCTTTCATTTATATTACTGGGATTTCTGCCTCATAATTTTCATTTATTCAGATATGCTTCAAATTTAAAACAGTTTGACAGGTAAATTTCTCAAAGTAAATGTAGAATGGTAAAGAAGGTATAAGCAAACTTAAAATGACAAATTTTAAATCAACAAGTGGTATGTGTGGTGATGTCATAGACACAATCTTTCATTCTTTTTGATGCTCTGCTTTAATGATTAGGAAAGCACTTGGCACTTAAATTCACAAGCTTAGTGTATTTTCATTAACTATTAATCTTATTTACATGCATTAATTGCTGAGTTGGGAATGAATATCATGTGATATGTCATTACACATTCAGAAAACATTTACTGCACACCTATTGTAAGCCAGGCACAGTGGTGGCAAAATCAGCCTATTTCTGGCCCACAATGGAACTCACAATCCAGTGAGGAATAAAGACATGCAACAGTAGACCCACAAATTCATACGTAGTTACAAACTTAACCTTGTTGGCCATGTTTAGGATTTCATCCTTTATTTTGAAAAGTCCTGTGTTTAAGATGGAATGTTTTATGGAATTTAATTATAGTTTTTTTTCTTATTTTCAAGGCAAGTGCCTTGAATGTCTTGCCTCCTTTTCTGTTTATGAAACTTAAAAATTTCCAAAATATCCCAGAATTCTATGGTATTGAGTTGGTTACACAAAAGGAAACCCGTTTATTTCTAAGTTGAGGACTAAGTTCAAATATAAAGACTCAGTGATCTGCTTTGGGGTAAATACAGTTGTAGAGGGCTAAGGATAGCTTAAACACTCAGCTAACCTAAAAAAAAAAAAAAAAGGCAGGTAACTTAGTAGCCTACCCTAAGAAACCCCATGTGCAAATAAAGGTTTTCATCATAAATGCATAGAGCTGAAAGTTTTCCTAAGTCTGGCTCCCTTGCCAGCAAGTGATAACGTCAGAACATTTTAAAAACCAAAATAAAAAGCCAAGCTGTGACGTTTTAGATAGAAGTTAATAAACAAAAAGTACTGTCAAGTTCTAAACAAGCCAAAAATATAGAACATACAATAAAATAAAGAGTATACAACTTCTTATGGAACTACAAAGTTGGAATCTATAGCATTCACGTTTAGAAATTTCTTCCACATTCAGCTACAAACCATATTTTAAATTAAATAAGTTACCACAGTCACCTCAGAACACTATCTCTCTGCTAGCCTTAAAGCATTGCAGTGTACAGTACAGCTTTGCTGAGAAGATCTGTTCAAAAGAATAATAGTCAAGCAGTAGCCCTCTTGATAGGTGAGTGTGTGGAAGAAATGCTATAAATATGCCAAAGTGTAACTGAGACCGTCTGATCAGCCCACAGCAGCCAGAGAATACCTCTGGTAGATGGGCCATATTGGTGTGCAGAACACAGCAGTGGAACACCTCACTTTGAGTAAGGGCATTGGGTAACTTGTGAGATGAAGAGAGGGAAATCTCTAATGATAAAAGATCCTCCAATCCTAAAAGGTGGAAAGGGCCGTTGTTGGCTGTTGGCACAATAGTCTCTAAGCACCTTCAACAACATCAGTAATCAGTAGGGCACTGTCTGAACTGTTTATTTAGAGGGGCTTTTCTCTGCATGGTAACCTAACTTTAAAATGTGCCTAGGTGTATTTGAACTTGTGGGAATTTTCAAACTCCAAGAAATCAAAGGTAGTAATAATGTTTTTTTAAAGTCATAGGGTTGGGATGTAAAATAAAATTGGTTTTTGTACTATTATGGTAGCAAGTTCAGGAATACATGATTCTATGTACGTAAGCTGGAATTCTGAGCACTGTATGGACTACTTATATTGCACATATCGATATATTGCAATTAGATAACAAAAATATTGATATATTGCAATTAGATAAAAATAGGAGAATACTGATGTCATCCTGATAGTATAAGTCTCTGCACCAGCATCTTAGATGGGTTTATCTGCTGTAGAGTCATAGTATCAATTTTGCCAAATTGATTTTAAAATACAAGAAATGTATTTTTAGTAATGAAACGTGGAGTGCTTGGATTCTCGTTTTTTTCAGGCTGGGGAGGGTGCACTGCCTCAAGAATTCATGGAAGGTGTGGAGGGAGTTGCAGGGGGTTTTATTTATACCATTCAAGGTAAGTCGGCTGGTTGAAAGTTGAAAAGTGTACTGAATCTCATGTACCTAATCTTACCGTATACTTTGACATAAAAGGTGATCTTTTTTTGTCATTTAAAAAAGAAGCTTTATTGATATATAATTCATGTGTCATATGATTTACTCTCTTAGAGTGTTTAATTAAATGTTTTTTAGTATGTTCAAAGTTCTACAACCATCTTCACTAATTCCAGACCATTTCCATCACTCCAAACAGAAACCTCGTACCCATTAGCAGTCATTCCTCATTCTCCCCTCCCCCAGTCCCTAACTACCACTAATCTACTTACTGTACTTTCTGACCTTAAATGTAAGGATTTATTTCTGGGCTCTCTATTCTGTTGATCTATGTGTCTGTTCTTATACCAGTACTGCACTGGCTTGATTGTGTACCTTTGTAGTAAGATTTGAAATTGGGAAGTGTGAGTCCTCCAACTTCGTTCTTTTTCAAGATGTTTTGGCTAATCTGGGTCCCTGGCATTTCCTTATGAATTTTAGGATCAGCTTGTCAATTTCTGCAAAAAAGCCAGCTGGGATTTTGAAAGGTTGCATTGAATCTGCAGATCATTTTGGGGAGTGCTGCCATCTTAACAATATTCTCTGATCCATGAACATGAGATGTCTTTCCATTTATTTACGTCATATTAAATTTCCTTCAATGATGTTTTGTGGTTTTCAGGATACAAGTCTTACACTTCTTTTGTTAAATTTATCCTTAAATATTTATTATTTTTGATGCTATTATAAGTGGAATTGTTTTATTTCCAGATTGTTTATTGCTAATGTATAGAAATAGAATTGATTTTTTGTATATTGATGTTGCATGCTGCAACCTTGCTGAACTCATTTATTAGTTAATAGTTTTGAATAATAGGTGCGTTAGGATTTTCTGTATACAAGATTAAGTCTTCTGAGAATAGAGATAGTTTTACTTCTTCCTTCCCGATCTAGATGCCTTTTATTTCTTTTTCTTGTCTAATTGTCCTGGCTGGAATGTCCAGCACAATATTGAGTAGAAGTGGTGAGAGCAGACATCCTTGTCTTGTTCCTGATCTTAGAAAGAAAGCATCCGATCTTTCACCATAAAGCTGATCTTAAAAAATTAATGACCTTGGACTTTATTGGCCCCATGTGGCTGTGGCTTTGGCTATCCCTACAGCCAGGTTAGGGTTATGGTTTCTGCAAGACTGCTAGACCATGGCCTTGTAGCTGTAGTGGGCTTAGCGCTGCTTGTCAGTCAGAAAGGAAGAACCTTTTTTTTTTCCTGACCCACACATGCTGTATTTTGACTTTTCTATCTCTCCCTCTGTTGGAGATGGTTCAGTGGACTCAACTTTCCCTCCTGCTTCATGTTTACTCTGTCTCCTCATAATGTGACTATTTAAATGTAAGGTCTCTATCTTATGGACTACAGTTTTTTAAATGCTTCTCCTAATATATCTCATTTGAAGGATGAGTTTTTTAGACGTCCTTTAAAACTTAGGGTCAGAGGCATTAGCTTAAAAATTTCGTTAAAACTCTAGAGGGAATTTGTTATGATAGGAATAGAAGTGGCTATGTTTGTCTTCTTGGGTGATACTTGTTCAAATATCCACATCTATGAATTCCTGAGCATTCTATGTCAGTGATCTTTAAGAAAGAAAAACTATTGTTGATGCAATTGCTATGTCACCTGTCTTGAGCATCACTTATGGAACAAAGGTGCCCAGTGGTGCTTCTCTCTGACCTCTCAAAGTTCTGCAGACCATGGATTCCTGTAAAAGAATTAGGACCCAGCTTCCTTGAAGGCTCTCAGTGACTGGGGAGAGCAGACGCCATATTCTCAGAGGCAAGTCTTCAGGAGACTCCCTTGAAAGTGCAGTGTTGAGGGTGGGGCAGACCCCTCTGTTTGAGGCCACTGCATGTGGTTTGAGGATGCGAATGCACTGTGGCTTTTTTTATTTCTAACATCTTTATTTATACAGTGTTTCCTCGTAGAAGCATTTGTGTTCTTACATCACCCGTAAGGGTAGGCTGGAACAGGTACATGGGCTTTGCCCACAAACTTGCCATTAGAAATAGAGATTAAAGATTTAGGGATCCTTAAATCCAGTCCAGAGATTTTTTCATGAAACAATGAGAGCACTCTGCCAAGGAAGTTATCAACTTAGCTCAGAAGAGGCTAGCTAATGGTTCAGTACTGGGGAAAACTCAGATAAGGAGGTCAGGCCAGTTTCTTAAAGCAGCTCACAGTTGGGGGCCAGGTACCAGTATAACACACCTTCTGACTTTAATGTCTAGCAGCTTCCTTTCTTTTGCCAGTTAATTCAAGTATGTACCACCAGGAGTCTTGAAAAACTAGTTTGAGGGGCCCTTGAGGGTTCTGGCACTAAACTGTTCTACAGGGAGCAGCTCCTGTACCCTGAATAAGTATTTGTCATAATTTTTTTCTCACTGAGGCTAAAGGAAAAAGCTTTGGGTGAGGAAAATTCCTTTCAAACAAGAGTGAGATAACTCAAGTTTTAGGCTAAAGGAGTTAAAATGAATAGATTATCTTCTTATGTACTGGATATATCTGAAAATCTGAGTATAAATGAATTTTTAAAAATCTGAGATCTGGGGCCAGCCCCGTAGCTTAGCAGTTGAGTGCACGCGCTCCGCTACTGGCGGCCCGGGTTCGGATCAGGGCGCGCACCGAGGCACCGCTTCTCCAGCCATGCTGAGCCGGCGTCCCACGTACAGCAACTAGAAGGATGTGCAACTATGACATGCAACTATCTACTGGGGCTTTGGGGAAAAAAAGGAGGAGGATTGGCGATAGATGTTAGCTCAGAGCTGGTCTCCCTCAGCAAAAAGTGCAGGATTAGCATGGATGTTAGCTCAGGGCTGATCTTCCTCACAAAAAATAAATAAATAAATAAAAATCTGAGATCTAAGTGCTATTCAGAAGAATCATGTAGTATACAGATTCTCAATTTTTTTGGGCATTAGCATCTCTGGCTGGGCCCTACCTCAGGCTAGAGTTAAAATCTTTAGGATTGGAGCTCAGATACCAGTATTTTAACAAGCTCCGTAGATAGATTTGATGCCTCCAAAGTTGGAGAGGCTATAAACCATACAGTTCTTTTAAACAGCGCGTAAACAGATCATCAGATTTAAAACACACATATATTACCTCATACTCATATTTTTCCAATACATGCAGTATAAAACAAAATGTGTAATTTGTTAATCTAAAAGGCCTGTATTTTTTTTTCTGCTCTCATCTTGTTACCAACCATTTTCCTGTCACTGCAATTTTATAACACTTTCACTTTTTTTCAAGTTTTAAATTGTATATATTTATCCTTATCTTTAAATTAAAATGAAAGGATATTAGAGTAGAATGTAAGAGTTGAAAGGGACCTGAGGTCATTTAGGCCTGTGTTTCTCAAAGGGTGGGCTGTGGTCCACCTGCATCACAGTTAAAGGAAGGCACATGTTAAAAACACAGATTCCTAGGCCCCACCCTAGACCTGCTAAATCTTTAGGCTTAGGGTCCAGGAATCTGTATTTCCATAAGCATTCCTGAGAACTACTGAGTCCAACTCATTTTACACATGAGAATCCTGAGGCCCAGAAACTTGTCATTTGTCCCATATCTCACAGATAGTGGCAGAGGCCAAAATCAAATATAGGGCTTCAGACTGCATCCCCCAGTCTTTCCACCTGCAATTACAAAAAGTGGAGTGCTAAATTACTTTTTAGTTTTCTTTCCTCACCCCTCAGCCACTCACTTTTTTATTTTTCAGAAATTTTCTCCAATTTGATTGAGACATTTGAGAAAATCCTGCCCTAGTGAAAGAATTGCTGCCTTAAATCCATAGGATCTGAGGACAGTCCCTGCACAAATGTGACAAATGATTCATTAGCTTGTAAGGTGGTAAATAAAATGTCTTTTAAGCACATTAGTAATCATTATTATTAGGAAATATCATAAATACATCAAAAGTAGAGAGTGCTATAAGAAATACCTATGTACTTATTGCTCAAAAGTAACAAATGTTTACATTTTGTCATATGTGCTTCCTTTTTTTTTTTTTTTTTTTTTTAAAAAAAAAAGCATTACATGGGGCCGGCCCAGTGGCGCAAGCGGTTAAGTGCGTGCACTCCGCTGCGGCGGCCCGGGGTTCGCCGGTTCCAATCCCAGGCGTGCACCGACGCACTGCTTGTTAAGCCATGCTGTGGCGGCGCCCCATATAAAGTGGAGGAAGATGGGCACGGATGTTAGCCCAGGGCCAGTCTTCCTCAGCAAAAAAGAGGAGGACTGGCATCGGATGTTAGCTCAGGGCGGATCTTTCTCACAAAAAAAAAAAAAAGAAGAAGAAATAAAGCATTACAGATACAGGTGAAGCCCCCTCCTTTCTAGTTCTCCCTGGTCCCATTCCTCTCTCTTCCCCTCAGAGAGGGTACTGCTGTTCCAAAATTCATGTGTACCCTTCCCATTCTTATTTTTCTGCTTTCTGCTACATATATACATATCTTTAAATAACAAATAGTTTTGATTGGAGTATTTTATAATTGATATCTATGGCATCCTATTATATGTATATTGTAATTTTATTTAGATTAACAGTATACTTTTTCTCACTTAGCATTATTTTTCGGTGCCATTCCTCTTAACATACAAGATCAAGTTAATTTTTTTTAACTACTGTATTGCATTATGTGACTATACCACAGTTTAGCCATTCTCCTATCAGTGGGCATTTAAGTTGGTTCCATTTTTTCACTGTTAGAAACAATGCTGCAATGAATTTCTTTGTAAACATGGAAAATATCTCTAGGGGTATATCTACAAGCTGACATAATGAGTCAGACAGTGTGCACGTGGTCAGCGTAACTAGATATTGCTGTATTGCTCTCCAAAATGAATGTATCCATTTATCCTCCCACTCGCAATGTATGCGAGTTCCCATTTCCCTGCCTCAAAGTTCCTAACACCTGTATTTCTGTCAGGTTACCTTGGGAAAGGAGTTTTAGTGTACATAATGTTACAAGTTCTGGGTCTTACGTTTGCAATAGCATTTTTCTCCAACTTTCAACTTTTCCTTTTTAGAAGGCGATGCTCTCTTACAAAACCTTCATTCTCGCCCTCGAAGACTTATTGATCATATAAGTAATCTCCATGAGGAGGATGCCTTACTGAAGGAGGAAAGCAGTGTCTATGATGATATTGTTTTTGTGGATGTTGTTGACACTTATCGAAATGTTCCTGCAAAGTTATTGAACTTCTATAGATGGTAGGTTGTAAAATGATGGGTAGCTAGAATTTGTTTTATTGTTCTTTTGACGTAGAAACAATTCATCAACATCAAAATGCTGAGATTATTTTTAAAAACAAAGAAACCTAATACCCCTGAACACCTGGGATATGATCTGTTGTATCCTGCTTCTTTGTAAGGACTGATCTTCTAAAATGCTGCTGCTTTCTCATTTACGTTAGCAGATCCGTAATGAGAATGAGTTTAATCTATCAAAAACAAACAAGGCAAAAATTGATTCACTCTGAGTCATTCCACTCACTTTGAGACCAAGTCATTCCTTTGAGTCATTGCCATGGTTGTCTCAAGCCAACGTTAGATGAAAATCAGTGAGTTTGAAAATGGTCCATTTTCAGTTGTAATCATACCCACCTACATAAATCCCCCAATTATAGTCACTCGCACCCAGGTTACTGATCTGAATTCTGTTCAACTGAGCATCCACATTATATTTCCATTCTGTACTCCACCCATTTCAAAACTACTTGCCCTAATTGCAGAACTTTTATATAAGATGAAATTCAACAGCCCTTAGATTGTCACATTTATAACTTCCCAGAACCTCCAGTATGTCTTGGATTTTAGTTGTAGTTCCTACCTTAATAAGAGCAACAAAAACAATAGTAACTGTTATTACTATTATAGATATATCATCGTTAATATTATTAGTTACTCTAGGATCCCATAATTTGCTGTTGAGCCTCTTGATACTGTCTACCCTGACTGTAAATCTAAAACCTTCTAACTATGTCTTTGTCTAGACTAAACCTATAAAGTGCATTCAGATCTTTGTCTTTTAAAACTTTATCAGTGAGCTTGTTTCTTGGTGAGCCCGAGTCTGTCCCTTTCTTTTCTTCTCTGTTGTCCTGGACAGCGTGGGAAATTAACAAGTACTTTATGGATGTGGTTCCCTGGTCCTGAGAGATAGATGATCTAATTAGTTTATGGAAGGTAATCTTTCATAGCTGGGGCAAGTTAATATAATTTTTGAGTCATCTTGTGGGTAAAGGGCAGATAATAAATAAGAGTTGGAAATTTACATGTATCTAGAATACCAGGATTAAGTTTGGACAGCTGTAGTAATAAAAAGAAGCTTCTTTTAGCTCGAGCCCACTAATAGGGGTTCCTGTTGTAAGTGGAGTTCTAGTACTTTCTATAGGGAGCTGATTCCCGGTTGTGGAAGTTCAGTTCAGTTTAGATATTACCTTCAGTGTAAGTTTTATTTTCTCTCCTCCTTGCATCTCTCTGAGGTTGTAGTCTCTCCCCTCAGTCCTCACTGCCACTGTCTGTTTTGCACCATCCTCTCAGCCTGGGTTACCTCAGTGACCTTCTAACGGGACAGTGCTTTGGGGCCCACTTCCCAGCAGCCTCCCTCACTCATTTACCCTCCACACTGTGACTGAAAGCTTCATTATTCAGCTGATGTACCAGTGACCTCAATGTCCTTTACCACAAAAGTTTATTCCTAATTGGCAAATAGATATTGTGTATGCCTCATGCTGTTAATTGGAAATAAACTTTAGAAGCATAGGGTTATGCTATTTGGTGTGGACGCACTGTTGTTAAATTCACCATTCTTTGACCTAGTGAAACTTTCTCCACGTTTCTTTTATTCAGATTTCTGTCATCTGACTGGTTCCTTAGCAAGACTCTGGGTTTTTTAACAAAGATGTACAGGGATTGTCAATGTGAAATGGAGTCACTTTTGTCTCTAGTTGCCATTATATATATTTTTATGTCTAGATAAATGAAATCATTCTAGTATAGTTTAATTGCTGGAAATTGTGTCCAAGGGAAAATGTGTTTCAATGTTATAACTCAGCTTTTTTAACCCATAAAATATCTGAGTGTAATATAAATAGTAGCATAGAACGCATCTTGTTGTACAACAGTGTTGTGTGTGAGACCAGCTATGACGCCTGTCCTCTCATTCTGGGCCTGTCTTATTAAGCACACAGGGGCACGGTTCCAGCCTTTAATAACTTGGCCAGCCTGACTTGAGCCCTGCCTAAGAAGCATTTGTTTGGTGGTATGTTCCACTTAAGCCAGATCTTTTTTTCATTGTGTTCTTTCTCCTTTACACCTTTTAAAATTGGCTTCGTACTTCTCTGCATTGTGCCAGTTAGTGAATATCAAATGAGGATTGTAGTTGGTAGCAGCAGCGTTCTGTTAGAGCAGATGTTCTCAGTATTGGAAGGATGAGAAACTGCAATAGTATACAGGTAGTAGAGGGACAGTTTTTAATTAAAATCTTAGCAATGTCACCACAATGGTGTTGCTTTGTTTCTTCATATGGATGCACTGACTTTCATATCCCTTTTTTCCCAACAGGACTGTGGAAACAACCAGCTTTGATTTATTGCTAAAGACAGATGATGACTGTTACATAGACTTAGAAGCTGTATTTAATAGAATTGCCCACAAGAATCTGGATGGGCCTAATTTTTGGTGGGGAAAGTAAGTTAAACATTGTTAGCCCATTGGTGTTCATGTACCTGATCAAATGTAATTAATTTAGAATGAAATATACAAGTTATTTTTCATAAGAAAAATGTGGTTGAGACAGGAAATTTCCCTCTTAGGGTCCTGGGTTACAGTATTTTATTAATCTATAATTAGAGGAAAAAAAACTTTTAAATGAAAAACCTCAGGCTAATGTAATGAAGGAGGGAAAACGATGTGACTTTTATCCTCATGCCCTAGAAAGAAGTGGTTCTCAAATTAGAAGCTACTGTACACTTTATGTTAGAATAAATTTGTGACACATTTCTGAAACCATTTTCTGTTTCTTCAGGAATGCAATATGGATTAGTGGGTTTTTTTCTTAAATATACATGCACAAGATGATCTGGTACTTTTCAGTAACTCCACAAATGCAACTTTGAGAGAATTTAATATACTGATCTTTTATATAAAACACCCACTAGATAAATAATTCCTTTCCTTAAGACTAAAAAATTATTTTCTCATTCTTCTTTCCTTGCTTTTACAGTTTATTCCTTTGTAGGGATAATAAAAGAGTCAAGGTTAATAGTGGTAGGAGATGTGTCCGACACAAAGAAGCCAATTTATTTTGCATCTCAGTTTCAGATTGAATTGGGCAGTTGACCGAACGGGAAAGTGGCAGGAGCTGGAGTACCCCAGTCCTGCTTACCCTGCCTTTGCCTGTGGGTCAGGGTATGTGATCTCCAGGGACATCGTCCACTGGCTGGCCAGCAACTCGGGCAGATTAAAGACGTATCAGGTAATTAAGGATTTCTGACCTAAGAGCACACTCATCAAACCAAGTTTCATCAGCCCAATGTTCCATCCTACTCCATCACTGAAAGCAAAGCCACCTTACCTTGGGGGAAAGCATGTTATTCTTTCTGTATAGGAATCACCCCTCAAAGGTTAGGGATCCACTCCTATCCCTCAAATCTTGGCTCTAAATTCTATTCCTAAATCTTTTTTGAGCCTACTTATTATGTCTTCAGCCTGTATTTACAAGTATAGTCACTGGAGGAATGTAAAGATTTATATCATAAGAAGGAAGACTATAAGCAAGTGCTTTCTTTTTTGCTGATTCTGGTGATAGCATCAATAAACAGCTCTGCCTAGTTTTTAGATCCACTGGTTAGTGCTGGAAGTTTAAGGTCCACGAGAAGAGTGCTGGGTACTCGCTGTAGTGTGTGTAGTCTTATGTCATTGTGGTGTGTGCGTTTCATGTTAACAGCCACTAGCTTTGACTTTGTGTATCAGCGTTAATACATGTTTAGCATTTCATATTAGAATAATTACAAGTAGAAAGATTATTTATTATGGGAATGGGGGTGGCATTATCTTTACAGATGAAATAGCATTTACACTTTCGTATTTAAACTTTGTGGGGCATGTATAGGGTGAAGATGTAAGCATGGGCATTTGGATGGCAGCCATAGGACCTAGAAGATACCAGGTAAGCAAGTCTGAGTGGGGCTGGCCTCAGGGTTCTGAAGAGTTGAGGGAGTGAGGTTTCTCTATCCAACCTTGGGCAGAAACGATGACTTGAAGATTTTCTAGCATCACAGCTGTGTTCTTGATTTAGTTCACAATAATCCACCTAGCTTCTCATACAATATTTTTCTGAGTTCAAACCAAAAGAAAATGTTTTGAATGGAAGTGCTCCTACCCACAAAGAAGAATTAGGTTTTTATACATTTGATTAGAAATTCTTTGCAATTTTAAAACTGTAAGAATCAGCTGACTTAAGTTTCCAGCAATGTGGTTGGTCCAAGGACCCTTCAACCCTTCTGACTGATGCAAATAAAACACTGGATAGATATTATAAGGCATCTTGTAAAATACACTGATCGCTGAGCCAGAAAAAAAATGAATCTGCAGAGACTGGAAATGGAAAATAGGAGCCCTGGGAAGAAAGCGAGCCAAAGCTGGCCTTTGCCTCCAAGATTTCTGTTGAATTCTGGATTCTTGTAGCGTCTGCTTTGGCCTTAGAAGGTGCAGGGGGCAGAAGGAACGTGCATTGCCTACCAGAGTAGGAACCCTGCATAGAAGCACCTGGAGCCTGGCGCAGTGCACCCTCGCTTCAGAGGTGAAGAGAAATAAACCCGGATCTACTTGGTCAACTCTGATAGTCCTGTTCCTTTGTCCCCTTGTTTCAGTCCCATCTTGGATTTACTTAACATTGAATATAATTATTTTTTGTGTCTGATAACTGTGATATCTGTAGCCTTTGCAGATCTGATTCTGTAGTTTGTTGTTTCTGCAGACTGTTGCTCATGGAGTTTGTTTCCGGGTGCATTAAGAGACATTTTTTTTATTGTGACCTCCTGTTCCTTGGAAACTGAGGTCTGTATTCAAAATGCATTCCTACAGAGAGGATTTACATTTTTGATGCCATGCACCTAAGGGCATTACCATCTTTAAATTTCCTGCTTAGGACTTTGGGGGCTCCAAAGAATATGACTCCAGCAGCATGCCCAAGTGCAGACTGGTTCCAGATGCTGAAGGGAGACCCCTTTCCATCCTACTCAGGGTCAAGGCTGAGACAGACAAGCCTCCTTTGTATAGTTTTGTTTTCTTAATAGACCCCCTGAGGCTCTTGCCCCTCAGGGGTCCTGGCTCTCTGTGGGACTCTCTGGTCAGTCCCCTGTCTGCGGGCCTGGCCTTTTAAAACCCAGCGGAGCCTTCAAGGCACATGCTGACTCCAGCACCCTCTACTCTCCAGTTTCTTCTCCTTTGCCATCAGTTCAGCCATGCTTTGAAAAACATTTCTGATTATATCCGACATTTTTATGTTCTCTAATTGAATGGGTTTCTCTGGATCCGTATTCTGCTATATTGCTGGAAACAGAAGCTAGTTCATGTAGCTGGGAAGTAGGCTGGTGGTTAAGAACTTGGGCTCAGGAGTCTGACAGACCCTAATTTACTCAACTTACCAGCATCACTGTGACCCTGAGCAAGTTACTTCGCTCTTAATTTCATTTTCTCATTTGTAAAAGGGAAATAATTTCTACCTCACAAGGTTATTGTGAGAATTAAAGTGGATAATGTTTATAAAGCTCTCAGTACAGTCCCCAGAATATTGTACGCGTTCCATCAGAATAGTTGCTGTTATTCATAACGCTGTATAGCCACCTTTTCTCTAATAGCAAAAATGAAACTCTCCATTTGTGGTTTCCGAACTTTCTCTTCCTGGAGCTCCCTTTGCTAACTCTTAATGCACATCTGCACAGTTTCTGTATTCTACGGCCACAGCCCCACAGACGACGAGTGGGTTCACACATGGAGTTGTCTTTGAAACAATTTCAGCTTCACTGGAATATATAAGCCGCCTGTATGCATGCTTTCTATCTTTCTTCAAGCAGTGTCACAGCACCCAAATCAGCTTTTGTTTTGTTTCTCAACAGGACAGCCTGTGGCTGTGTGAGAAGACTTGTGAAACAGGAATGTTGTCTTCCCCTCAGTATTCTCCACAGGAACTCACAGAACTGTGGAAACTGAAGGAATTGTGTGGTGATCCTTGTCAGTGTGAAGCAAGATGATAATGATTTTAATTCGCAGTGTTTAAAGATCAGGGTAGGCGAATGATAATCTAAGTGTAAATCTGAGGAAAGCCCAAGGTTTGGCAATAGATGATAGGGTCTTTCAGGATAGTTCTAGGCCTGGCACTTGTACCTGTAATCCTTGTGGTATTTCTTAACATTTGCACAAAACGTCTTTTTTAAAAATCAGCTGATACTGTAGCATAAGAAAAATTTTACTTACATACTGGAAGATGATTTGAAAAATACCAAATTGTTCATAAAAGAAAAGATGTTTCTAAATCCTGATGCATCATTTCTAGTTAGTAATTCATGACCTAGCATTTTTGGTTAAAACTTGGCCTAGTTCAGAAATCTTGAGTAATAATTGCGAGTTTGAATTTCAACCTGGATTGCAGAATAGCTCTCTATAGCATAATTAGGATAATTAAGGGCCAAAAACAATCATGTGATCACTTATGAGCAGTGGTCACTTATACCAAAGCTTGCGGTTTCGGGAAATAATGTCAGATTTTGTGGATCTCTGAATGAAGTAGGCAACTTGAACTTGAAAAGGAACCAATATAATTCTCAGTTCTGGACCTTGGTTTTAAAGTTCATTTATTAAGTGGACTAATTACCCAAGTTTTCTTTTGCTATTTAACATAAATCCTGAAGGTCACAGTTTTCAGTACTCCTTATTTTAAAAAATGCTAAATTTTTGTGAATATAAGTAAAATCAAATACCTCTCAGGGTTTTAGTGCCATAGGGAAGGCTATTTCTAAATAATTGACACTTTGAAAGAATTAACTTTGCTTTCCTCCTATCGTTGCCTAATGTTTACCTACTATAAGTGAGTTTCGATCAGAGCTGGTAATCTTCTATGGAAGAATATATGCTCAGTTTAGGTATAACTGTAGGGAAAAGCATGTAATTAATTTTTGTACTCTAAAAATAGTGTGACTGAGAAGAGAAATCATAACATATATGTTATACATAGTAGAGGATGTACCTCCCTAAGTTAAGGGATAGTTCCCAAAATGACCAACCAAATCATTTTAGTAACCTTTTAAACTAGTAGTATCCATTAAACTAGTAGAAAATTCCATTAAAACTGGTCTTATGACAGACATTAACTGTGTTCAGATTTTATTAGACTAGCTAGGGTCTATTTAATATTTAAATCTTCACATAATGAAATGCAGTCATGAACTATAAAATAAATATGAAATAAAATCAGAAAATCATTAGTAGGTGCAAAGCCTTTATTATTGCTGTTATATATAAGCCTAGAAATGGTCTCTTCCCAATGAAAAATACAACCTTTTCTATACTTAGGGCAAGTTGTAAAACCTTATTTTTTGACAGTAGAATTGTTTCAATAAATCATTTATTTCTAGCGAACCCCAGTAACAATAAACAAACAGTCTAGTCTCTGAATTTTATTAGTTGGCTGTTACCATCGCACTAATAGACAATCTCCACTTTCCACAGAATAAAACTGTAGTGACTGTTGGTCATTTTCTAGTTCAATTTCTCTGCCCGGCATCTAAAATGAGAACAAAGGGTTGGGGCGGGGAGGTGACTAAAACAGATCTACAAAAGATGTTTTATATACTCCCTGCCCCTCAAACAGAGATGTATGGTTTCCATTTAGAATCAGTGTGAGACTTAGTTCCCCACAGTATGACATGCTATTAAACTAAGTTTCACTTCATATTTTCTGGGCAACTTACTTTGGGACTTTCATAGGACAACTGAAGTTCTGACACAGGAACTTTGAGAAGACGTGACAGCAATCCTTTCACCTTTTGGATTGTCATGGAGTCTATCAATCAAAGAAAAGAAAAACCATGAATTCTCTCAAACGAGTTACCTGTAAAACTAGCTCAGGTGACAAGACCACAATTGCAATGACAGCTGTAACTGTTGTTTCACTGTATCAATTTACCTGAGTAAATGATTAGGGAAAAGGCTCGCCTATCCTCATGGACCCACACGATCACGGTTTCACACCACGTTACCTGAGTCACTTGGGAAGCTGTGGGAAATGGAGCCAATGTTTGACCTAAGTGCCCTTTGACAATGAGTTTTCATACCATTTCAGTAGTGTTTAATATTTCCTCCTTAATTGGAATGAACTAGAAATCATATTCTCTGCATAAAGGAATAAATGTAAGTGAAATCATTAATTTTTTACACCTCTGTGATTACCTACTTACGAATTACTGAAAGAAAGGTGGAGTGGGGCTCAGGCGTCCTAAGGACGTATCTCACCCTCTCTGGCCTTACTTTCCTCCTGTAAAGTGAGGGGTAGACTAAATGATCTACAAGCTCCCTTCCAGCACTACCCATCTGTAATTATTATAATGTGTAATTGCGTTCGACACACACGTACAGGTGACCACCAGGCATGGGAATGTAACTTAATGAGTAAATGCTTTGGTTTGTTCAGAAAACACTATGAACTTCTTTCCAAAGATGGGTTGTGGTAAATATTGGATATTTTGATTATGAGAAATATAGTTTCTTTGAAGCTTTAGCTGGAGGTACAGCAATAGTGTGGTGTTCCTACAAATATCACATGTATTCAAACAAATATTTTTCTATCAAAAATCATTTTTGTAAAAGCTGTGTTTTTATGCAACTTGTGATAATAAATGTTATCTTTATTTTAGAATTAAAAATGACCCTTTCTTTATGTTTTGAATGTAGATACTTAATAGACATTTATAATTTTAATTACCACAATTTGCTCTCTTTTATGTATGAATATGTTATAGCTAATCTTGTCCTTTCAAAAGATTTAGGTGGACTGGCTTTCATTGTTCAGAGGGTGGTTAGTGATGGGTTAAATAACTCCTGCACACCAGGGGAAAATGACACATTCCTAAGCCAAGCCAGAAACAGAAAGTTTGGTCAGAAAACAATTCTAATAAATCTGCCCACCCGCACTGTGTCTATAGAAGGAAGTGGCAATCTGCATGTAATCTAAATAATATTACCATTTTTAATATTAAAGTAACACATGATTGTCTTAACATTCAGAAAGTGTAGAGATGGTTAATTAATTATCTTTTTGCCTTCCTAAGACCAATGTTAAAAGTTTAATGGTTATAGTTCCAAGTTTTTTTCTGTTTATATAAGGATGTATAGGTTTCATAATATATATTGGTCTACAACTCATAGTTCTTTATTGTATAGTGGTACATCTTTTCATGCTGCTTCCTCTAGACCAGCACTGTCCAATACAGCAGCTACCTGTGGTTATTGAGCACCTGAAATGAGGAACTTTTTATTTTATTTCAATTTAATGAATTTAAATTACCACATACAGCTGGTGGCAGCCATACTGGACAGCATGGCTCTAGACCTATTTCCTTCTCTTTAATGGTCATGATATTGCAGCATATAGTTCTACCAGCACTTACTCAACCATTTCCCCACTGGTAAACATTTAGGTTGTTTTTACTTCTGCCATTACAAGTGCTGCAAGGTAGAATGCTTAGTCACAGCATATATGTATTTTTTGCTTTTTATACCAATTACCACATGACTCTACCAAAATATATACTGATTTTCCATGCCAGCTCTACATGTTATTGTCTTTAATTTTTGCTACTCTGATGGGCAAAAAAATGATGTTGCAGTATTTTACATTTGTTTACCATTTTTCTTTTTAAAGGATATTTATGTTAGTGGTTAGATATTTACAGCATGTGACATAAAAATTAATAGTAAGAACTGTTGTAATCTGCTGGCTTACTACTGAATTTAGAGAATATAGGACTCAGATTCTGAATAGCTTAAAGCAGTAATTATTACATATAATTTCTATGGATGATTCTCATCTCTGCTAGTTCTACCTGAAGATTAATAAAAATCAGAGCATGAACATGGTGGGTATTTCAATGGGTAACTGAATCTCAGAAGAACTGGGACACACTCTGATACACAGTATAGAAGAGGAGAGGGTGAGGTGCACACCCTCACCATTAGCCTCAGACCCCATTCACACATACACCCAACCACAGTCCTTGACTGATGGATCTGAGTGCCCTCCTGGAGGAAGCCCTGAAAAGGAAGCTTAACACAGGTCTAATGATAACATTCTTGAGCAAATATTCCTTAGTGGTAACATGCCCACAAATTGATTTCATGTATCTGGAAAGTAAAAGGAAAAATGCAGACATCCAAAGCCAATTACATTAACAAAAAGTTCTGGTCCTCTTTCACTTGTCTGTCTCCAAGAGTGCATGAAGGGGCAGCCACTAATTTTAATTCATCATTATATAACAGTAGCAAAATTACATATCACAGGAATAGAAATTGGATTGTTAGTAAATAAAAATGGAGTAATAACTGGTAAATCAACACATGACAGTTAACAATCAGAAAGGTACCTCTGAACACAACCAAAGCCTTCCACGAGCAATACCATGATAAGCTTTTTTTTTTTTTTGTGAGGAAGATCAGCCCTGTGCTAACATCTGCCAATCCTCCTCTTTTTTTGCTGAGTAAGACTGGCCCTGGACTAACATCCATGCCCATCTTCCTCCACTTTAAATGGGACGCCGCCACAACATGGCTTGCCAAGCGGTGCATCAGCGCGCACCCTGGATCCGAACCGGTGAACCCTGGGCTGCCGCAGCGGAGCGCGCGCACTTAACCACTTGCGCCACGGGGCCGGCCCCCATGATAAGCTTTTTATTTGATAAAAACTAATTTAAAAGTCAATGTGAATTTACAGCACTGACAGGCAAACAAAGAAAAGTCTTTTACTAGATGATATATTTTATTTCTTCTTCAAATCCTCACTGCTCTAAAGTTAACTTGTTTATATTTTAGTATTTAACTGTGAATCAAGTTTAATCTTGAGAATTCAGTCTACTCAAAGATACAAACTGTAATTTAACTTTTCTTTTGAGTGGAAGTTTAAGGTAATTTACACTGATCTAATTTGATGACACAAAAGTATTTATTTTCCAAATAAAACTAATTCACTTCCAGTAGCACAAATGTTTAAAGTTCTGAAGTAGTTTTTTCAAAAAAAACCATTTCAGTGTGTCCATTAAAAGACAGCGTCTGAGAGCTGCTTCTGCAGGGACTCCTGGTTGGTAAGGAGTAGAATGTAGGAAAAGTCACAAATGTCCCAATAACTCACAATTCAGTTCACCAGGACGTGTTTCCTGTTTTATGACGAGATGATAAGACAGACTTCAAGCCCAGTGCAACCGTTTCTCTGGACAAGAGAAACCCCCAGAGCAACAATCTGAGAACTGAACAGCAGTGGGCTTGGGAGAGTCCTCCGAAAGGCTAAGCCTTCAAGCTCTCGTGCCTTTGGCTAAAGATGTAATCATATGCAAGGGCTTCCTATTTTAACAAAATTTCTCTAGATAAGCTGCTAAAGTTATGGGAGACTTGAACTTGGAGGGGGGGTGGTATTAGCATGATTGATTGTATTTTAGAACATAAAAGACTAGAGAAAACCTGTAAGCTCTCAACGGCCACACTCAGATATGAAAGAACTATTTTACTTCCAGCCAACTCATACCCAGGCCCATGACTTGAGAAGTCTAAGGAAGGGAAAGATAGACTCATTCTTCTTACCTGGCAGTTGTTTCTCTAGGACATTCTGGCCAAGTTGATTAGGATATTTTATCTTCAGTGCTTGAAGGGAAAAAGGAAAAAGACTTAACTGAGACCTACTGTAATAATGATTTAAATTACACGTGCCAGTTAACAGGGATTGCCAACTGATGGAGCTGTTCAGTACAACTTGGCTCAAATCTTTATAAAGGAATAGGTCTTACTGAGGTTTAAAATTCCTTCTATTAATACTTCACAGAATTACTAACAGCAACAAAACAACAAAAATAGCTTGACCAACATGCTGTTGCTTCCTTTTTCCCCTTAGTACTTCTTTCCTGACAATTTAGCTAGGTTTTCAAGTGTAAGAAAAGTCACAAATTTCCAAATCACAATTCAGTTCACCACTCAAATACTTTCCACATTTACAACACTATTAAATGAGTTTAAAGCAAGTGAATTGCTAAAATGTTCAATATAAGAATTTAGACATGTTTGAGAAGTCATCATTTCTTTAAAATTCGAAGTACTCCTTTAGGTACTTAAACAATCTCTATTATTAGGTCATCACTATATGTGACAGCACCTAAGGACTCAAATACAAATAAGCTGTCTTTGAATTTGGGGTCCTTACTTAGTAGCTGGTTTTTCAGCAAAAATGGTTGTTGTGTTTTGAGTTCCTCATCTTCAGGTGCACCATATTCTGTTTAAGAAGAAGTGGAAAAGGATGAAAAATAAACCAAAGGCAACTGTAACGAAAAAAAATGTATAGGTAAGTATCAACATAGCTTTTTCCTTTCCCAGGATAAACCTAGCAGCAGCTGGTATGCTAACCTGGGATCTGCTTCCTTTTATTCAGTTACTTGTTTCTTTGTTTATTTTTAGGAGGGATGGACAGCAACCACTTCCAAACATGGAATCCTCCATCACCTGTGTATTACATCACTGATCCTCAGTGTCCTGACTCAAAATAGCAAGATGAGGCTGTGCTTTCAAATACTTAAAACATTCATTCAAAATTTCACCTTTGGTAACAGTTTCCTTTCTTTCTGCGTCCTGAGAGAGAAAGCTGGTACTACCTGGGACATGACTCACAGGACACCTTCACCGAGTTTCAGCCAGATGGTACAATGCTAGGCCAGGTGCTCAGTACCACCACTGCACACCAGGTTCCCCGCCTGGAACAGCAGCCTCAATATAAGGATGTAAGGAAGGCAGTGCTCTTCTCTTGCTCTAACTTCTGCTAGGCCAACCGGTGACAACATTTCTATCAATACCCCCAAGTATCTGAGCTTTTGTCTTCTAGTATTCTTAGCAGTGAAACACTGAGCCATACCTGCAGGGCTGCCTTAGAACCTTCCCTTCCCCACCCCCAAATGATTTAGAATTCACCTAAAGTAGCCAGGAAATTGGGCCAGCTAATGGAGTAATTTGAAAGCAATTCCCACAGGCAGCTTTTCTTCCTTAAAGATAATGTTTCAGCCTGAAGCATTTATGCAGTGAGCTGCTCGCATTAGGAAATATATAAAAAAGAAAATCACATAAAAGTGAAATTTGGAATAATAATGAAGTCAAAACAAAAAGGAGGGCCCCGTGGCTTAGCGGTTAAGTGCGCGCGCTCCGCTGCTGGCGGCCCGGGTTCGGATCCCGGGTGTGCACCGACACACCGCTTCTCCGGCCATGCTGAGGCCGCGTCCCACATAGAGCAACTAGAAGGATGTGCAGCTATGACATACAACTATCTACTGGGGCTTTGGGGGAAAAAAAAAAAAAAAAATAAAAAAAAAAAAAAAAAAAGGAAAGTCCATCAGGGACAAAGAGTCCTGAGGACCAGGCTGGAGAATGTCAGAAAGCACCTTGCAAACCAAGTGCTAAACCTGGTGTTTAGTGAGCCCTCGGAACAGAGCACTGAGGAAAAACTGCAGTCGCCTGAACTTTCATGGACATCAGAATTATTTGGGGAGCTTACAAAAATACCAGTGCTTGGGTTCCACCTTAACATGCCCTTAATTTTTAAAATTCTCTAGGTTAGAGCCAGGGTTGAGATAAACTGGAGTGCTTCCTGCCCTACCTAAAGTAGGGAGTGGACCTACCTCCTGAAATTGAAAGTGTGGTGAATATATGCATATGAGAGAATTTTCCTTTAAGAGCTGCCTTCCCCCTGCCCACAAGGCCAATCTCTCCCTTCCAGGAACCTACGTAGACTTCCCAGGTTCCTTCTGCTGTATCTTCTCTAAGCAGAAGCAACCTGGGAAGGTTATCTGCTCTCACTTGCTGAAGGAGCCCCAGGAAAGTAGCCATGGTCCATTGAGACAAGAACAAAAAGCCCCAAGGGAGAAAACGCCATCGAGGACCTCCCTTGATACCCAAGGCAACACTCTGTTCCGGCTGCAAGTCCACACCCGGAAGGCCACTGGTGCAGTGCACGTACTAAGGCAGAGTAACTGGTATCTAGGATGGGCTGCAAGAAATTCTTCATTTGGTCTGTTTTTGTCTGGATTCTGATGTCCACCAGCTTTCTTCCATTCATTTCCAAATGCTTTTCGGTAATCAAGCTCAGCTCCACGCCTTTCCTCTGGTAGAATCTACATTGATGTGAAATGAAAACAAGTCTATTAAAGGATTTTTCTAATGAGTGTTTGTGTTTTGCATCCTGTCTTTCCTCCAGTCCCCACCCATAGAGAATAATCAAATTGAGACGGACAAAATAATACTCAATTATATTTTTACCTTTCCTTTTTAACATTGACAGAATTCAGGAGTTTATTCAAAAATAAAAAAGAATTTCAGTTTTATACTTTTCTTCATGAGACTATTTGCCCACAAGCCAATTTCTGGACTATGCCAGGTGTGGACGGTCGCCCTCGAGGTGGCCTGGAGGGTCCACCCTGGGGGAGCTGACTTACTCCAAGCGAGCAGCACAAATGGGCTGGCAAAGCACTACCTTCCCAATTTTATGAGAAGAGTGGCTGAGAAGGAGAGGATAAATAAGCTTTGTGGTTCTGTCTTTTTTCTGCCTATATTCCCCTGAAGAAAAAGGACAAAGTACCCAGTATTCCTCACCCTCCTCAGGTGGTGATAAATCAGCGAGGAGGCAGGTGAGCACCAGGTTTTTCTGCCCTAATCTAAGTGCAACACTAACTCCTGAGGAGTCCGGAAGAACCACAATCACTAAAATGCACAAGGATAATATTTTACCATTTGGAGGAAAACTACATCTCATATCCTTTATAATACTCAAATATAATTTCTTTTTACATGTTTTGATAATTTGTTTTCTAGTCTAAATATCTCGTCAGGACACGAGGCTCACCTGACATCTGTCCAGGGTCCTCAACTGACCAATTCTGGCGATGATGAACTGACGGGTGGTCTGCGCGTCTTTGCCTCCTGCGGTCAGGGGGTTTCTCATGCAGGACAAGGTGTGCAGACTCTGCAACTTATCCAGCTCATTGATAAATGACCACTGAAACCCAACAAACGAAAAGAAACATGTTTCAGGATAATTTTTCAGATTATTTGAACTAGCAACAGAAAAGAAGTCCCTAATTCCAACTGGAGGCACAGAATTTCATCACACCCAGCAGCCACTGGGAAGAGCACATATTTTTACTCTATAACTATGCCTTATAAAATGACAGTCTGCTTAAGTGTGAATTAAACTAATTTCTTAATATTTTTGGGTTTATATGAGGAGTTTCACTCTGAAGAAGCATTTCTCTTTCAATTTAAAATATTTTTTAGGGCCGGCTCCGTGGCTTAGCGGTTAAGTGCGCGCGCTCTGATGCTGGCGGCCCGGGTTCGGATCCCGGGCGCGCCCCGAGGCACCACTTCTCCGTCCAACCCGGGGCCGAGTCCCACGTACAGCAACTAGAAGGATGCGGACCTATGACGTACAACTATCTACTGGGGCTTTGGGGGGAAAAAAATGAATAAATAAAATCTTTAAAAAAAAATAAAATAAAATATTTTTTAATAGAAGAAACCTACAACTCCGTCATGAGAGTGGCGATAAGCGATAGTGCAGTATGCGCTTCTGAAGAAGCTCTTACTTGTGATATCTGATTGTCATTTACTACAAGGTATTGCAAGGAAGGAAACATTGACGTCTTGCACCCTAGAAAAACGAGAATTACGTTACACAGTAGAAGTGAAAGAAATAGCTCAAGTATGGGGGCCGGGGTGGGAGGATATGGGATTTAATAATCTTATATACCAATTCCAGCATCCGGAAAATGTAAAGAAGAAATTCCAATATCGGAAAGGATTAGTTGTTCTAATCTGAAATTTAAAATGTTAAATTTGATTACATAGAACAATATAAAATGGTATGGGCTATCAACCAGACTAGACTTGTAAATTTTTTCCTGCATCCTAGGTTTTCATCTCCTGTGAAATGCTTAGAAACCATGAAGTCTATAAATTTAGAGCATGCAAAGTGGACTCTTTGTGCTACATTCTAATGATTCTACAGTCATCTAACAGTTCCTGGGTGCCTACTGCTGTACTAGGTGCTAAATGGGTCTCAAAGAGGAAAGAGACATGGTCTTATTTCCCAAAGTTTAATGAATGAAGACTTGCGACATTAGCATCAGGGCCAAATTATTCATTCTTCAATTAGTGTATTCTTCAATCTAGTACAGATATAGACTACACTGTATGTGGTTCACAAGTAAATTTTCTAAATAAATTCAAATAAAAACTTCCCAAAGGGAATTACTCGATTTGGGAATTCCATCATCACTATCATATTTCCATTGAGAAAGTACATATAGCATATGATCCATTCACTAAAAACTGACTAGGCGCTATTGTAGTAGGCATTTTAGGAGCAAATTACCTGGGCAGATAAGCTATTAGAAACAGCTGATTTTCATCAATTGATTGATTAGAGGAAAGGTCTAATAACTTGACCGTCTGTAGAACATCAGCAGGCCTGTATGGAAAATAAGATTTTTTCAACATGAATTTAATCTCGTAATTGTTTTCAAAGATATGGCCTTAAAATATCTGCATTTGGTGTTAAGGACAGGTTGGGGGCAGGAGGCAAGTGGATGTGACTATAAAAAGGCAAAATAAGGGATCCTTGTGGTGACGGAAATGTTCTGTACCTCAACTGCACCAATGTCAGTATCCTGGCTGTGACACTGTACCACAGCTTTGCAAGATATTACCAGTGGGGGAAACCGGGTAATAGATACAGGTGATCTCTGGGTATTATTTCTTATAACTGCATGTGAATCTAAAATTATCTCAAAATAAAAAGTTTAATTTAAAAAAACTTGCATTTTCATGTATAATAAATAAAATCATTCTGTACAGTAAAACCTCATTAATTTGAATCCTTTGAAAATTTTTCCTAAATTTACCCATGTTTAAGTTTATTTTACATAGTAACTTGATATCAACAAAAGAGGAAGATGAGACAACATATTTAATTTGCTTAAGAGAACAAGCTTTAACATATACTTTGTTACATCAACTTTAAACAGATAATGCTAATTAAAAATGCATTCTTTAATCCTTATAGCATATCCTACAGAACTTCTATTTAGAAACAGAAGTTATTGGAAAACTAATAAAATTCATGTCTTCAAATATATTTAATTCAGAGCTTTCACTCTGATGGGTTTTTCCTCAATTAGAATGAATTAGTGAAGTTTTAGTTGACATCATAATTTGTGAAGGCAATGAATAATAAGCATTTTTCTAATTCTTATTTGCAAATCCTTCTAAAAATTAATAGTAGGTATAATTGAGACCATTTATTTATTCAGAATGACTAAACGGTGACAGATGCATTTAAGTAAACCCTTGTTACCTTTCCGAAATGAAAATATTGTTAGACTCAAGGTACAGTTCCTCAAGGACAGGCCACCCAGAGGCACACCGGAGCACCTAGGAGAAAAACTCAGTTCAGGGTGAAGTGACCTCTGTTGGTTGTTTTTTCCCATGTGTTTATAACTATAACCTCCACATGAGTTCAGTTTAGTTCCTGTTTTAGAAATAAAGAGCCTTGTGGACATTTCATTACAGACTATATTTCAAGCCAGGAAAGCCAGTAGACAGGTGACAAAATTAAAAGGTTAAGGGGGCCGCATTTTAATGATATGGGAACATATACTTTCGGCACTCTGCACGATGCGCCAGTTGGGTGTGTCCGGAATGTACTAAGGCACCCGCACTGGAGGTGCTGACCTAGTACATTCCATTATTTGATACAGTTTGCATAACCAAAGGAAAAAAATTGATCTTAAACACCTTTCTTTAATTCCCAATGCCAATCTGGATTTGTAAAGAATATACTAATCAGAGAACATTTCTCAACAACTATTTCTAAATTTTCTCACTTGCACTTTACTGCCATCTCCACCACCTGAATGTCTCCGTGCTCTTTCTGTTCTAATGCTCAATCTGAAGCTGGGGAGGGAGGAACTCATGAGGAAGGAGCCCTAGGAAAGAAGTTAGATGGCTGTGGCCACTTTAAGGGCACAAGTTAAAGGCGACTTATGTCTACAGGAGGTGCCTCGGGGGCATTTCACAAAAGAACAACTTGGCTGGGGATGTACTCATCTGCACTTGGTTTGAAAGTGGAATATTCTGGGTGTGTGAAGTCAGTTAACCCCTGACAGAAAACAGTAGTACCAGATATGAATTCCAATTGCTGCCGGGCCAAGGACCCACAGGTCCACTGTGGAACCCAGCTGTATACAACGTACACACCCAACAGTGAGTCTAGGAGCTGAACTTCAAACAAGAAAAGAACGTGAGAATCTTTCTGCTGCTCGGCCTCTGCCCTACGAACACTTTCGGGAAAACTCAGATAGCTAAAAGCTCAATCACCAGCTATCTGGAAGGCTTCTGACAGCTCGGCACGTGTTTACCGCACACCGCTGTGGAGTGGCACTGCTCAGACAGACACCAGAACAAATGAGAACGAGCCGAGAGAGAATACGGATTCCTAGATATAAAATTCTCCTTCACCACAGCGGCTTTGTAACTGCTTTCTGTAAGGCAGTTTAAAGAATCCTATTATTTGGATAACAGGATGATTAAAATGAACCCACAGTTGTGCTTCAATTCCCTATCAAACCAAGAATTTAAAAGTGCTTAATACTGGGTAATAAATCAAAGAAATGTGATTACCTCAGCCCATGTTATTCCTGTTTGGTTAAGGACTAACACCTTCAGTGTAGAAAATGTTCCGATTAGAGATGGTGAACCAGAGGGAAATTTTAGTTTATTTTCACTGTGTAGAAAAAGAAACAATGTCCTTATTATTGTATAGTAGGCCCACATGAAACAGTCATTGAAAGCAACAATTTGGGATTTAATATGAGGGAGTTTGCTTTGTTTCAACCTTAAAATGAAATTCCATCAAAAACAAGTGAGTTAAGACTACCTAATTCTTAACATTTACAATATGCAACGTTTTGGTATGTGACGCGCAGATGTTCTCGCAGGGTTAGGGCGGCTGGGTGAGGCTGCAGGTCTCCTAAAACGTAAGGCTCGGGCATTTGTAAGCTCAACTTCCAGCTTCATAAGATGCGGCTCTGGACACTGCAAAATGCAGCCCCACTCAGGAGACTTACTGACACGCCAGAGCGTGGGCTAGGATTTTGCTTCTCCAAACAGCATCTGCCCTTTTGCTATCAAGATGGATGAAATACATTACTGCCCTTTAAGTTCTCTCAAGGTCCTAATCTCAGAAAGCACTCAATCTTGACATCATTTTGAAATAAGTGATACCATTAAAACATATCAGCCCTTATCCCGAAGAGGAGATACCATCAGTCAAATTACACCCGTTGCTCTATTTGGGAGTACAACTAATTTAGGCCTGGCTATCTGCTACACTGAACCTGCCCAAGCCAGGTACAACCCACATGTATATGTAAAGTTGGCTCAAGTATGAAAGGGGAAGCCTGGCTGAGCCCTTGGAAAGTTAGGGTTTGGAGATTAAAACTAATAAATATTCTAGAAGGCCTGGAAAACTGTGACACTAGCAAAATATGTAGATTAGTGAAAAATCCTTATCAGAACTGAGTTAAACAGTATTCCAATGGAATTACTCTTTCCTAAAGCAATTAAACGCTAGAAGCTTCAGAATGAACAAGCGCTTTTAATACCACCTCTCCCACTCTCCAGTCAGATATCGACTCCCTCAGATGACCCATCTTTTACCGTCAGGCTTACAAGAAATCTGAAGCTCTCTCAGCTCAATATGTCAACCTATCCCACCCCTCACCCAATCAAAAGTAAAACACATTCTCTGTTGATGAATCATTGCATGTGACCATTGGAAAAACTACAACAATCAAAGAATATTAAAGAACAAGTTAAAGAACCAGTTAGAATGAGTTAAGCTTAGATAAATTCAACTAAGCCGTCTTCCCCTCCTCATGCCCACAGAGATGCTACGAGGGAACAAGGAAACATTAGGAGCTTTATATTATGTGACAATTAGGCAACCAAGAGTTCATACCTGAGGTTAAGAACTTCCAGGTTTTTGAGCTGATCGGCAATATCTATGACGTCATCCCACGATGACAACAGGTTTCTTGACAAATCTACCTTTCTAATATCTAAAAGCACGTGTTAAGAAACAGTAATAAAGAAAGAATCATAGAAGACATAATAGTAGTTACCTCTTAATTCTGGAGCATGGGATCTTTAACTTTTCACTTCATACCCTCTATTCTGCTTGAAATTTTTCATGATCACATATAACTTTTACCTTTTTAAATCATCCAACTGTTCATTCAGAAACTAAAAAGTTCATTGTCACATACTGCAAACTTGAGACAAACATCTACAAGCAAATGAATAAGAACCAAATGTCATAATGCTAAACCATTCTATCATTATCCAACAGAAAGAAAGAAAAAAGGGCCGGCCCCGTGGCTTGGTGGTTAAGTGAGCGCGCTCCACTGCTGGCGACCCGGGTTCGGATCCCGGGCTCCCACCGGCGCGCTGCTTCTCCGGCCATGCTGAGGCTGCGTCCCACATACAGCAACTAGAAGGATGTGCAGCTATGACACACGACTATCTACTGGGGCTTTGGAG